AGGGCCGGGCGGGGACCGGGATGCTTCCCGACGGGAGGACCTTCCCGGCCTCCCTCTCTTGCGGCAGGAGCGCTGGAAGCATCGTTAAGATGGCTCTGATGTTGGGTGTGCGGGTAGTACCACTTCCCTGCTTCGTTTCGGTGCTTATAATGAGCTGGATTGTATTTACCTGCCCTCCCTGCGGGGCGGAGCTCCATTTTGGCTGCCTTCTCCTATACGTGCTGACATTTGTGCTTTTGACCCACCTGTTGCGTCCCCGTCCCCTTCTTGCCCCCGTGCCAGAACGAAATAGACGAGCTGAGGACAGAGATGGACGAGATGAGGGACAGTTTCTTTGAGGAGGATGCTTGTCAGCTTCAAGAAATGCGCCATGAACTGGAGCGAGCCAACAAGAACTGCCGGATCCTTCAGTACCGGCTGCGCAAGGCCGAGCGCAAGCGGCTCCGCTACGCCCAGACTGGCGAGATTGACAACGAGCTCATACGCAGCATGGAGCAGGACCTCAAGGTACAGACACGGGCAGGTGTCGAAGGGAAGGGAGCGTCTCAGATGGAGACACAACCATGCTCTTGGTCCTCATGACTCAGGCATTCCCATCCGTTCCATTGTGCACCCATGCAGCTCATGGAATAGCAATGGCCAAGCTCTTCTTGGTAACAGGAGCCCTTGCTGTACGTAGACAGGCTATTTTCAGCTCCAGTCCTATCATTTTTTGCAAAGGTAATGTGCAAGGAGTTACTCAAAAGCAAATTAGAAGCTAAAGGTTTTTGGCTCTTTATGATGAGTGCAAAACGTACCCTTCCACTGCAGAATTAAACCAACCTCACCAAACAGCCCCGTTGACTTTGAAGGGATTTTGTTACTCTTTAGTGAAAGATTTTAGAGGGTAAGCAGATTGAATACTTGCAATCACAACACTAAATCCTTACTGTGTTTCCATCAGTAAAAAAACTGCTGTCATATTCAATGAATCCAGGGTTTTTCACATCTACCTGAAAGCATAGACAAAACTCATCAAATTTCAGTGTGTCATCAACTGCATTTCATCCATAAGATCTGAATGAACCACAGCCTCTTGCTAAGGAAAAGTTTCAGTCTTTGTTTAAAGGTTGTCATTGGTAAAATACCCATCATCTCCATCCTAGATTGGTCCAATTACAGAGAAAAAAAACCTTTCTTGACACAGTTGGAAGTTAATTTCTGCTTCCATTCACTAGATATTGAAGTACTCCTGCTGAATGAGGACACATAAACATTTTTCAGTTGACTTGTCTCCCACTCAACTGACCTTTTGTCATGGAAGTGCAGACCTCTGTATAGCAAATGTGAGGTTGTTGGCCACACTTCTGCCCAGGACTTTAGTTACCCATGGCACATGGGCTCTGTGGGCTGCAGTTTAAAATGTGAATTTAATATGTGATTATGAATAAGGTTATTTTTTAACTTCTTTCTGATAAATATGATAGATGGATATGATGGATAAATATGTTATTCTCAGACCTGGTTGGGATCATCTTTTCTGAAAGTTTTCAAGCTTGTCATCACTATTATTAAAATTTCTATTTAATATTCCTTTTCTGTGTGTATTCAGAACCCACGTTTTCTGTTGTGGCTGTGACAGTTCTATAAATACAGCTGCCCATGTGGATCTTGACAAAATAGAGTCTTCCTGATCAGAAGCAAAATCACCCCCTTCTCATGGGGATTTCTGTTTGAAACAAGGATGTTTTGCACGCTCAGAATGATGCTTTGGTGATCAGTTGAGACACACACATTTGCAGGCAGAATTTGGAGATGGGCCTTCATATCCTGAGTGAATTGTGATTCCAGTTTATGGAGTTGGCTTCTTTGTTGGCTCAGTGTTACTTTAATTAGCAAGTCATACACATGTGGGCTGGGGAGGGAATTGTTGAGGGCACTTCTGCTGAGGTGCTTGTCTGCCAATACAGGAGATAGAAGCTAAGGCCTTGGATTTAGCTGGACAAAGAGCTTGCTTTAATTAGCATTTCTCCCATGTGTTTCCCAGTGTGACTGACTCATTGGAAGGAGCAGTGTTCTTGCAGAGTGTTCTCGCTGTTCATGAATGTGTTCTGCTTTGGAGTAGGGATGAATGTCTAATGCCAAATTTCTGCCTAACAGAGTTCTGGGTGCTGGCTAAACATAATTATAACTCATGTGGTTATAGGTAGTGTTTTCAAGTCCTCTTCTGAAGAAAGACTATCCAAATTGACATTGTTCATTTTGCAATATATTAGGGAACTTGATCCTTCAGAGATACATATTAATACAGCTGTCTGCAAGACTGTATCTTACATACGCCTGGATTAAAATGTATCTTGCATAAGTGAGTCCCATTTCCCATGTGATCTAGAATGCCCTGTATTTTTTTCCTGCATTAATAGCTATTCCACCAGTTTTTGTGTCAAAAAATTAGCTACCAGTAATTACAATATGATTTGGTTTTATTTACTGATCCAGACTGTGTCTATAGACTGTTAGGGTGCTGTTTTAAATATCCTCCATGATTTCCCACTTACTTTGGTTGGGCAACCAGATGAGCACTTTAAGTGCAGGAAAAGGCATCAAGCTAAAGCCCTGTGGTGTTTTTCTCAGCTCATTCTGCAGTCTCTTTGGGCTATGGTTATAATTGAAATTCCCCTCCACTCACTCTTTCTGTTGGGCATTATGTGTCCTGAGTGCGTGTGCAGTGGGGGAGGTTATTGAATGATCCTGTGCTACGCTGCAGTGTTGTATCTGTAATTCACACACACTGGCTTTCTTGTCAAGGGAGGCTGAGTCACTAGCTGATGCTGATTTCTGAAACCTTGGATCTTTCTAGATGCTTTCTTACCATTAGTATTTTTTCTCTACAGTTTTTGTATGTCAAAGAACTTCTGGCATACTAACATAAAGTTGGTTTGAGTGAAAGCCATGAAGGACAGCTCGCTGAACTCCCTTAGCTAATGCTGAGTTGGATTAATTATGCTTGCCAGTGTTCTAAAAAAAGCAGGAAATTAGGCTTTTCAAACTATATTTCTGTGTGTCTAAATCACCATCAACACAGTCATTAGTATGTGTTTAAATATTTTTGATGTGTGATTATAATTTCTGATGGTTTCACAAAATATAGTACAAGTGGCTTGCAGGGGAAGATTCTTATTACTTTTCATGAGGAGGAGGAATTAGATCTTGTCATATGCCTTTTGACTCTATTGCTATGAAAATGCATTAAAAATCCCCCCAAACAACAAAAAAACTTAGTGTTCATTTCCATTGAAAATATCGGATGTCATTTGTGCGAACACAATGTCAGTAAAAATGTTGTTTGTTCATATTTTGATCTTAAAATGCACAAATGGTAGTAAATATTTTCATTAATTGTCCACCAAGGAGAGAGAAACTAGCAGAGTCAAAATAAACATGTGTCCATTTCCAGTCAGAGATAGACACAGCTAGGGAAGGCCTGGAGAAGATGGGCCCTGCTTTTAGGTGCTGTTGCGGGTCAAGTATTTGAAGGGTGTGTGGTTTTGGGCAGTGCTAATGAACATAAGCTAGCTGTGGTTGAGAGAAAATAGATGATGCACTGTCTGAAGGAATAGTGAAGGTCCTGTTTAACTGTTGATGTGACAGAAACTAAGAAGGAGTTGGGGTTTAATGTCTGATATGGTTTCCAGTGAAGTCCATAGGGATAATGTATAATTTTTTGGAAGGAATTGGCTTGAATTTGGAATTATTTAGAATTCTGTCTGTGGATGTCCTTGTCTACCTGTTTCCTTACATACCTCTTCCATCAAAACACCCAGAATTAGCTTTTGTATGGATGCTTAAGTACTAAGCACTGCAGCAGTCAATTTTTCTTTTAACCCTTCTTTTGATATACCATTTCATTTAGGTTGCAAAAGATGTGTCAGTGAGGCTTCATCACGAGTTAGAAAATGTGGAAGAAAAACGTACTATAACAGAAGATGAAAATGAAAAATTAAGACAGCAGCTTATAGAAGTTGAAATTGCCAAACAAGCACTACAGAACGAGCTGGAAAAAATGAAAGAGGTTAGTATTGCCATTTACTTCTACTCCAGTTATTTGAAGAGTTTAGATTCTTCCTGATGAACTGTTTTTCTTCTACAACTTGGTTTGGGGGCAAACAGTATGGCAGTCAAAAGTTGAAAGCTGCAAGGAGTGCTAAAGTACAGCTTGATGGTTGTGAAGCTGAGAAGAAACTGAAATATTTGGTGTTTTGTAGGTAAAACAGGAACCAAGTGGTGCCTTTTTTTCTCTCTCTACTAGGAGGGAAATGTGAAGTTAGTGGTAACAAGAGTTCAGAGGCTTTGATACATTGTACCTACATAAATATTCATGTAGGAAGTGTGCTGAAGTGTGCCAGAGGCATCTGACTTTACAGATGATGTTTTCCATAGGTTTTTACAAAGAGCAGTAGTTCTTCCCTTGCTAACTACTGCTGGGTACTAGCAGGCACACTGAGACTGGGGATCTAGCCACCTCCCCATCTTGTTCAGTCGTGCTCTTTGGAGTGCTGGGAAGTGAGAGACTCTACCTGGCTTTTCAGTCTAAGCATAATTTTTCATTCTATCTAATTAATCTTCAAAATTACTCCAGCTGCCATTATATAGATGCAAGATACTGTGCCATTAAGTAAGCAGAAAATTGCATTACAGCAGTATTAGCCAGGCTGACAGAGATAACAAAGCAGCAGTAAAATGAGAAGCTGTTGACTAGGAATGACTTATCAGAAGTCCCTAAAAACAGCTCTCCCATTTCCTCTTCAAGATTCAAAATTCAATGAATGCCCTCAATTTTCACATTTAGGAATATTCCCTAGTAGGAACACCAGTGTCTTCTTTGATCTTGTATGAAGCAGAAGAGACATATTTAGTTGTCAAAAAGGGTAGGAAATTTTGAGTTGTATGATGTTCGGGCATTTTTAGGAACTGCAAATGAATCCTTTAAGTGATGTATTAAAGTATTAAAAACATTAAATTTTTTTCTTTACAGGAGCTGAATTTCAAGCATATTAGTAGAGGTTAAACAGGTGATTTGTTCCACCTTCTGCTGCTTTCTCAGATAACTGCTGATTTTAAAAGGGCATGAAAAAAATCTGAGCTTTAGTCAGGTTTCCACTCATCTCCCTGAAACTTTCCCCTTCTGTTTTCTCTCTGGTTACTGCCATTAAATAGACCTTGGTTTCCTCTTGATAAGAGCATGATCTTTCTGTAATTATCCTTGTAACTTGTTTTTAAGATTGTCTTTACTCCAAAGTTTTGTTATTCTTGTCCATTCACACTCTACTTTCTTTTAGGTTCTCATCTCTGGCTCCTCCTTCTCTCTAATAGGTTATACTGCTGTAAAATCATTTTTCTTCCCTTTTTTGAAGCATCTTCAGATTACAGTGATGTTTGGGGGCAATGTAATAGTTTGTGTTCTTTGATATAAACCAGTTAATGGATTTCTTCATCCCTGTCATCACTAGTCACTTTATCATGGTTCTTCCCTCTGGCCCGCTATGCGGAGCTACGATTCTGCCGCTCCCGCACTGCTCTACACTCCTTTCTTTGGCTTAAGGGCTTAGCCCTTTCTGGTTTTGCTGTTGGTATCAATGAAAGGGTGCTGGAGGCTCCAGAAGAGATGGTGTCATGTTTATGGTTTCTGTTTCACAATAATGGTTTTCATGAAGCTGAAGCAGATGGATGTTTCCCAGTGGCGCCGAATGGGGGCACTGAGCCAGAATGAAAACGTGAAGTAAGGCTTGACACCATAGTAGGGGTGGAGTGGACAAAGAGTCAGAAATACATCCTTATACTGAAGAAGGGAGAACTGCCTTATGTGTCATTGTGATTGGCAGGATTTATGTATTTCAAATAGGCTGCTGAGTTACTTTCAGCACGTGAATGCTGATTTTCAGGCCAGGACTTTCAGCACACCATGGGGGAAGATGGAGGATGGGTGAGGAGGTGCAAGTCAGAGGAAAAACAAGTTTGAAGCAAAGCCAAATTATTATTATGCACTTTCCAAATAAACCACGACTTGGGGGACTCATGGAAACATGCTTGTGAAGAATAGTAGTAAATCTTACAGAGTTGAAATTTAGAATCTGTGAAGAAGCTATTCCAATGTTAATACAAAAAAACATGAAAACAACCGAAAGCAGTCTGCATTAGAATTTTTCCATGACAAATAATTTTTCTTCTTCTCTGGCAATTGAAGGTTTCATGCATTTTAAATGTCATTGTCAGGTAGTCATAATGTTAATTTTCTCTTTGTTTGTGAGTTATTTTCCTCTAATTTCATGGATTCACAATCCTTTCTCATTTCAATACAGTCATTGTAACCAATGGAACCTCCTGCTTAAGGGAGTTCTACTCAGCTTAAATTGAAATATGGGGAAGACCTTTGTCTGGTTTGGGATCTTTGCTTTATTGAGCTTAGAATTAATTGGAAACTATCTCTCTAAAGAGAAAGAAACATTTTGTTTTACAACATAGTAAAAATGCTTGGAGATGTAACGATTGATTTCTGTACTTTTGTCATCAGATGTACTGCAGAAACCCAAACCTTTCAATTCTTAAAATCTATTTATGTACAACTGCCATGTGAAATTTCTTTCTCTTTAATAATGAACAGTGTGAGATATCAGAAAATTAAAATATGACTTAATAGAAAATGTAAGAAAGAAAGCATAATGTTTTGGTAGGTAGTCTCTAGGGCAGGACCAAAGCTAAAGTTTTCTCTTTGTGGATTCTCTGTTGATTCAAAAAGCATGGAGACTTGACTGAAAATATGCAGAAAAGATAAAAGCTAGCAGATGTGTTGGTTTAGAGTTAAATCTGGAGTACTCCAGTGAACATTTGGGTGAATATAGACATATGAATGTATTTGTCCTTTTATGTAAAGATGTAATTGCAGTTTGCCTTCTTGATTTGGAGCTTTTGGAAAAAACTAATTATCATAAATTCCACAACAAGTTTGAAATTGTTGTTGATGGCAGCAGAACTTGCAAGCATCCAGGATTTGGAAGGTGTTCCAACAATGCATTCATTTTCTATCAGTTACTTTTGCTTTCAATCCCCCAGACTGCAACTATTTGATGGAAAGTTATTCCTGCATATATCCACACAGACACACAAGATTTTTAATCTGTGTTGGTTTTATTTGTAGCAACTGCTGCTGATTTCTTCTTTAATATTGGTTGCTATCAACTGTAATCCTTTTTGGGAAGCCAAAAACAAAGTAGAGGAATTGTTTCCTAGCAGGAAAGAGAAACGAACAGTAGCTAGACGTAATTTTTCAGATATTAAAAAAATTAACATGTTAATAATAATGAACATGTTGTTCATTGATTAATTAATTAATTAACTTTCATTAATTCTTTGTTAACAAGTAAAGCCTAGATTATGCTTATATATCTTTCTGTTATCATGAACTAAAAATTAATTTGTTTGCTGTAGCTATGTGCAAACACCCAGCTAGCTGAGGTTTAGTGGTTTGTTGTGAAACAAATTATGTAGAGGGAAAATATGGTTGTTGTACTGCACCCTGGGCTTTATAAATCCTTGTTGCAGTGCAGACATGCAATGGCAAGAAGCACAGTGTTTTTCAGGGACATGTGTTGTGGAAACCCAGAGCACTGGGAATATTTCTCTGTCTGCTCTGGGGCATCCTGACCCCCAGGGGAACACTGACTTTGACCCTCTATCATGGAGAAAGTTTGCTAGACTTCAAGATAGACTAGAACCCACAAAAGTGTGAAATAGATTATAGAGAGTAGCGTAGGTGCATCCCTTAGGTGAGAAATTTAGGTTTTGGGATTTTTAGTATGTTGTGGATGGAAGCAAGATGGAGTGCACAGGGTGTCATCCTGGGTTTCTTCTTCATGCTTCTTCTTCCTTCTTCTTCATGGGTTTGGGTTGCATTTTGTAATTGGCCAGAAAAGTCCACATAGGGGCTTTTAGGGATCAGTTATTAGGTTAAAAGGGAAAATAATCTAGGTGTCAGTTCTTAATTGGATAGTTTAATCTTAAAAGACCTTGTAACAAGAGATTGTTAGCCATTTTGTGCTTTCTAATGAAAAGCTGCCAAATTCACAGTAGTGAGACTGTTTGACTGATAAGAAATAATAAACACTTGAGTCCAAACATGAAATACTGTCTCAAGTGCCTTCAACCCAGAGAAACCAACAACTGGTACCACCACAGTGTGTCTCTCTGGATGTGTGTGGATTGCTCTGCTACTGCTCCAAGCTGGGCAGATGCAAGGCAGCTCAGTTCTTACAGCTGCTTTAGGGCGCTGTTGTCGAGCCACCATTTTCTTCTGAGCACAGACTTCTAGTTCAGATACAGAACCTGTGATAACCATGGCACTGAACCAGAGATGTCTTTTGTGCCTCCAGTTCAGACTGCAGGCACAGGAGTTTGTCCCTCCCTGCATGGGTCTGTGTTTTGCTGTAGTGGTGCCTGTCTTGTCAATCCGGTTCATACACTGCATGGGAAGGGAAGAAGGCAACAGGAGCTGGGGAGCTGGGCACTGGAGCTGTGAGGAAAAATCTGAATTCTGTTCCTTATTTTGACACTATCCTGCTGTGGGACCACAAGAATGTAATTACACTTTTCTGCTTACTCTTGCAACCTTTGCCTGCCCTGTTTAAGCACAGATTAGCTCTTTATACTTCTCTGAGTGTTCAGGCTGCATAGACATCAGAAGGATAGCTGAAAATTTCACTTAAAAAGCTGCTATAAAAAAAGCCCAGACAATTCCAAATTCAACTCCCCAACCTCACAAAAAAACCCCTAAAACCAAACCAAAACAAACCCAAAAACCCCCAAAACAACAAAAAAGCACCTCAAACCAACAAACCCACGCTATGAAAGATCTAGTAAGATGCTGTCCTAGTCCCCTTGATCATCAATACTAGCTTGCCTTGCTCTTCTAGGATGAAAATCCAGTATCTCTTTTTATCACAACCTTTTCTTTCTTTAAGCCCCTTCTGCCATTTAACCACAACCACTTATTTCAAGTCTTTCTTCTAGAACTCACAA